ACGAGTGTTGCAAACTATAACGGGGCTGAAAGGGGAAGAGATATATGGGGGGAACGAGAATATGCTCACACGGTTACACAGCCTACCTATGTGCTCTGATTAACGATTATGAAATATTTCAATAGCTACGCAAATAGATAAATGACAGCCACTTGTTAATATAAACTCTTTCCTTTGCCCTTAGCATTTTCCTCTGAGCATCCTCAGAGAAGCATGGCATGAGGAAGGAGAAAACGCAGTGACTTCACAGATCAGATGAGGAGGCTGTCCGATAAAGCACAGCTAAGGGCAAGCCTCCGTAAAAAGAAGTAGCTATCTCTGGCAAGGCAAAGAACGTCACAGAATGACTAATCAAGGACAGCAAGTAAGAGAAGGAAAAACAAGAGAAGTGGGGAGGGCAGTGGTTGGATTAAAGGGATGAGATGATATCTCAGTCTATCTTTTCCCTTTTTGAGTCACTGCTGTTGGGAAAAGGCGTGAGAGGGTAAGACAGGGACTGGGTTCTTCAGAAGAACGGCAGAATAAAGTGAAAATGAGACGCTATCTCATATCCCTTCCCAGAGGCTCAGTTACCACTCTGGCCCTCTCTTTGGGTCAGTAATAGTACCAAAGCCCTCTTCTTATAGATGGCATTCAAAAACTGCACTTTCTCTGAGGGTCAATAACTGTAAGCTCTATGGGGTCTCCCACACTTTCCAGTTCTGCTCCCTCTTTCCAGAGAAAACTGGAAGAGGAACTCAGTCCGCCTCCCTTTTCTGGGTGCCAGGCTGGGGAGCGCTCTACAAACCAGCTGGAGCGCTCTACAAACCAGCTGGAGCGCTCTACAAACCAGCTGGAGCGCTCTACAAACCAGCTGGAGCGCTCTACAAACCAGCTGGAACCAGCTCCTCTGACTCCCTGCATTCTCAGCTGGTCTACTTCACAAATCTCCAATTCCTCTTCTCCCACCATCAGCATGGTCCCCACAGCCTCTTAACAAAAGAGGTTCTTCAAATCCTGTCCTGTTAGCACTTGGGCATCTAGAAAAGCGGAGGTTCAGAGCACTCTGTAACAGATAGCACGTTGGGAACGACAGGCCAAAAACTGTCACTGGTAACCGGGATTTTAGGCAAAAGTGGTTGGAAAATAGCAGAGAGTAAAAGAACGGAGCATGTAATCCTGGCTGAATTTTAGCAAGACAACAGGAAACCAGTTTCTGGTGGTATAGAATTTGAGACTGAAAAACAGAAGATGACATATTGTACAAAACATCTGGCAAGCCTAGCCCTCACCAGTCTAGGATCCCACCTCCACTCCCGCTCCCTCCTTTTCTGTGGAGGAAAAGCTTCTGTACTACCACCATCTCACACTGTGCTGCTGTGACAATTTGGGGGAAAAATATAAATAAAGAATTAATTTACTTACAAATGAGCAACTGCATTAAGTAATCAGCAGTAAGGGGAAGAGTAAGAAATTCAAATCCAGAATTGACTTTTGTTTATGTAGCAGTCAGAGATCCTCAGTTAAAACATATTAAAATTTTGCAGTTTTTCTATTAAGAACAAATTTAAGATTGCAATTTAGACAAATAATCAAATTGCACAAACCCGTTGTGAACATTTGAAGAAAATTACTGCAAATTCTATGCTTATGTTTCACTCCTTCATCTAGAATAACTGCACCTGAAGCCTTAAAAACTAAGCAACAGCGCTTCTGCTATTCTTTGTCTATGGTACGGTAAAGAACACTCAACCTAGAAGGGTTTTTGAAGAACTCTATTTTTCTCTCCGAAAAGCCTATTACCAACTGCAGTAGATACCATTCCCACATTCCTATGTGCATCTTTATCCTGGCAGAACATTTTAAGTTGTCACTGTCACATAGACACACACACAAAAGATTAACGCATTTTGTACTCTTTTTAATTTACTAAGGACTTGCAATCAATAAAGCAACTCTGCCACTGCTGAATCAATCTGCCTCATGACAGCTTTGCTCCACGGGACCTATTTCCAATTACTATTTTCATTTTTACCCATTTTCTTTATTCTCTTAGGTAGCACGGTCAATAAAGATCAAATTTCCAGCAAGCCCATGGTGTATCGCCCAGGGACTGCATTCACAAATAAAAAAAGTAGATGCTTTGATCTTACACAATTTTTACCTTCTTTCTTTGTACCTATGGAAAAAGCGCCCATATATACCAAGAACTTGAAAGAAACACAAACAACTAATAATACCTACTTGTAGATTTAATACCTTGTCATGATGCCAGATTATTTAAGAGAAAACGATCATGACAACGGAGCACACGAAGCAGTAAACAGCTTTCAAGGATGGGTAAGCATCAAAGCAAAGCAGATATCCACTTGATGAACATTGTTCCTCCAGCATAAAATACAGTAAAACATAAAAAACAGAAAAGAATCCAACATAAAAGAAAAAGGGAAAAAACATCTTTTTCTCAACTCCTCAGGGAACATGAAGCCTGCACTGCCTTTCAGCGCAGTAGTACTGCACCCCATGAAAAACCAGGAGGATGGAGGTGAATGGTTGTTCTATCAAATGAGTAGCAATCCAAAAGCAAAACAGACATAATGCAATGGGACTAGGAGGACAATGGACAATCAATGAGTATTTCACTGCTACACTGTAGAAGGACAACATTCTGTCCTTTGTCTCTGATGCAATTTGATATTAATAGAATATCTTAGACGAAACATACTCTAAAGTTCAAAAAAAAGGCCGGCAAGAAAGTACAAATGTCTGATACTATCTGCTGAGTTTTCAGAGAGCTAGGACACATTTTCAGTTTCCCACATGTAGAACAGATGAAAAAGAATGTCTACTTCAAAAACACATGAGAGATTTAAAGCACACGCACAGAGCTCAAACAGGACACTGGGGCTCTAGGCAGAGAGAGATATGAACCTGCTGGCCTACATAGGACTGAAGCAAATCAATAATATCTTTCACAGTGCCTGTACATTCGCTACAAAAAACATACCAAATTCCAAGATTTGAAATTTAGGAAGATGCTGAATTTTAAGTGGAAAGAAAATGAGATTATCTTCCCAAATAATTCATGTCATAGGAAAGGTATGTTATGCAACCTACACTGGATATTTACCTCTTGTACCATGGTCTCTTGTCATACTTCAGAAAAACGAGTGCAAAATTGATGATCATGATGATGAAACATTTCAGCACTGCCTACCTCAAAATCTCTCAACATACGCACAGGCCTCCCCCCTGTAGTATCTCTTGCTATGCCTACTTATCTATTTAGGCACTACAGTGATGCTAGTCCTAATACCTATTTAATTTACTTACTAGGCCTTTTCTCCAAAAATCATACTCAATTTTCCATCCATTCAGTGAATTACTGTCGGATAATAAAATAAATTTACTGTACAATTTGAAGTGTCTATATTATTTCTTCTTCAGGTCTACAAAATAAATTTTTTAAAACTCTCTCAAAATACTGACAGTACTTCATTCTTTTCTCTCTAAAGTCTCACCTTGCTGTTAATTTCTTGATAACCACAAGCAAGAGAGTGTATACAGTGAACAGGATACAGGGTA